CATTTGTAAAAACTTCAGCACTAAATAAGCTGAAGTTTTTTGTCCTGAATTCATTAGTTTTGTTATAATCAGACTACTATAAAATAATCAGATTGCCAACAGTATCTAAATCATAAAATTTTGGAAATAATAAACATAAAAAGAACAGAATTATCATGAAAAGAATCACTAAGTGTGACCTTAAACTTCCCGTACGTGGAAATATTCACAAATTAGTGTTTACTATTTATAATTTGTTTTAAATACTAATAAACATACTTATGGCAATCATCCCATGAACTGAAGTTTCATAGTAGCACCAACAACAGCAGAAGAAAGAAGAAGAAGGAGGAGGAGGAGGAGGAGGAGAAGGAGGAGAAACATGGCTGAAGTTGTTTAAAAAGTGGGTACAAGGTAAAACTTTTTAAAAAAATGAACATATGTTAAATGGGGGCGACCAAATAGGACGCCCCGTACAATTTTTACAAAAAATTGCAGAAATATAATACTTTTTGAAGTCGTCTTTAACTTTTGACATTCGCTTGTCCTAGGGACAGAATTTTAAAATCAAGCAAGGTAACATTTGTTAAACTTGACGTGCTGCCCGTTGAACAAGTAGAGACAAAAATTCAAGACCGTCGCCAACTTTAGGGTAAAGCGAACGAAGCTATCTTTTAAGACCCAAAATATTGAGGCCCCACAAAAACTATTATAACACATAATAATTAATTTATATAATTACCATTAATAAAAGGTTTCAAAATATACATATTTTTTCTTCAGCTATGATTTTTCCTTCTCTAGGTACACTTATTTCATGTTCTTGTTTCTGACCATTTTCCTTTCCAATTTCAATTATTACGAATTAGTTGCTCTTTATCTCCGTTTGATTGGTGCGTTGATCATAATATTAAGTTCTTTCGTCTCATTAGTCATTACTATATGAATGTTATGAAGTTAGTTTAGGGGTCTCTTATTATTATTATTTGACTTTAGGCCGTACAAATTTTTTAATCCCCCCCCCCCCCCCAAACAAAGAATCACTAAATGGTACATCTTTAAATTTAGGAAAATCAACCTAAATTCCCAGATAATCTCTTAAATCATAAATAGCCGACAAATATATAATATATATATATAACTAAATATAATCAATATATAATTTATGTATATAAGCTAGAAAGAGTAAACATTAAATCTGGCGGGTTAACATGTGTGACACTTGTGAGACAAATCTATGTTGTCTTTGTTTTCAAATTTTATTTTGGATCTTTCCAACAAAGAGGTGAATTTTTAACTTTATATTATTACTAAAAAAAGTAGAAGTTCACATCATGGTCTATACAACTCATACACATAAGATGATTCATTGGCATTGTGCCCTACTCACATGCAATTTCAAGCCCTCATCCCATCCTTTGTATCTTTTGCCTAACAATTATCTTTGTCATATTTGGTTCTTCAAATATTCTCTTTTGATTTTCTTTATATCAATCTCCCCCTGCCTCAAAAAACAAACAAAGAAAAGAAAAAGAAAAAAGGCTAAAACAAATTTAGAAGTATAAATAAAAAAGTAAATATAACAAAAGCTATCTCCTTACCATAAAAATGTAATTTCAAGCTTTTAATATCCACCATAAAAAAGTGTAAATAAAAAAGTAAATTTAACAAAAAGGTTTCTCCTAAACATGAAAAATGTAATTTAACGCTTTGATATCCACCACTATATAGTGCACATTCACCAACGAATATGGTGAGACTGTTGAAATTTCTTTACTATTAATTAAAGATTTAGGGTTCAAGCCTCGAAAATAAAGAATTTCTTGGTAAGAAGCGGTTTACCCTGTTTACTAGGACCACACGTTGCAAATCAGAATTAATCGGAGTGCTTCAAATACCAAATAGTTAAAAAAAAAAAAAAAAAGACATGGAAATGTTATACCTTTTAAATCTGTATACATATAATAAGCCGTCCAAACCTTATCAAGTAGCCATTTGTCATCAACAAATGTCACAAATAATAGTAAAATTTTCTACTATGATAGGTCAGCATTAGCGGCCTGACCAAACCGACCCTTTTGTTAATGTTTTATTTCCATAAATTTGTGGTCCAATTTTATTAAAAACAGGAAAAAATCATATTATAATGTCAATGATAAAGACGTGGCGTATTGAGTGAGAGCGAAGACCACAATATACCATTTTTTAAAATATAAAAGTTGATGGTAATAGGAAAACGAAATGAAAAAAGCACATATTTTTTAATTTGTGAGATGTAATTAATTATGTTGAAGATAAGCTAAGAGGAGCATCTTTTTTTGGGTATGTAATTTAATAATTAGTTGCCAACACTTAAGGTTTATATAATACTAGTTCATGTCTTAATCACCATTTCATAGTACGAGTTTGTGACTTCAAATTTTTTTTTTTTTTGGGTAAAAGAAATAAAAAAGTCGTGCTAATAATTGTGCTACATTCTCAGCATCACTCATATGGGGTACTTATCATTTTAGGTATTAGTATACTCTATATATTTGGCCCTATTTGATTGATGCAGTAACCTTAAGAAAATGAAATATGCACCGGCTATATAAGCTATATTCGATAATGATTTAATTAATATATATTGATGGTGTAACAAAATTTTATACTACAATTTTAATTTATTTTTGAAAAGTGGTGTCGGGAAACTTATGTGTACCTCGATTATTACATTGTGTATTTACTTTTTTTTTTTTTTTTTTTTTTTTTTTTTTTT